ATTACTTTACAGAAAAGAATATCATTCTCAGTGGAAATATTCAGAGCTACTGGTGAGAGGGAGAATTATGGGTACCCAGAGGCGGCAGCTTGAAAGGTTGAATCTTGAGAGTATTTATACTAACAAGCCAAGCAGCCATGTTCTCTTCTTCCTCATGACCTTCATGCGACATCCCACCTTGACCTATTTGCTCTCTGCAACTCTCTCTGTTCTCTCAAGGTTGTATGAAACACAGAAACAGTGGGACGAATGGATAGCATAGAGTGCCACAGCTTGGAATGCGACTATGCGAGTCTCATGCTCCTTTAGATCTTTTGTCTTGCTCTTCTTTTTTTTTTTTTTGGCGATCATTTTGTCTTGCTCTTTGAAATTACATATTTTTTCAGTGATCGGTTAAAGATGAATTTAACTTCCAAGTTACTGTAGTTTTTTTTTTTTTTGGAAGAAGTCTCTTTCTTCTGGATGACATATCATGCGCAGCCACCGTGTGTTTGAGGATGATTCAGCCGTTCTCATCCATATGACGATGTGATGGGGACTTTCCTTGTCATTGGTCAACTTTGCCCATTGCCAAAGGCGTTCGCATTCCGTGCTCATAAGCCTGATGGGCACGGAGTGCTCAGCACTCAAAACAGACAAGTGCTGAGTATTTTTATTTTTTTTACTTTATTTTTTGGTTACAAAAAAATTTATACCATCTCAAATTATTAATATAAAAATTATCTTGATATTTAATTTAGTCTTAAATATAATATTTTAATCTACTTTATCTCTTATATATATTTATTTTTTTCAATACAATCCTTATAATAATTGTACGTGTTAAAGATTTAATCAATTGTTGATTTTAATTAATACACATAATTAGTGAGAGGCATTTTAAAGAAAACAATACTTATTTATTATAATTAACTAATTTAGCTAATTTTTGTAGTATACTTGAATTAGTTAAACTAACTCTTATATTAAGAATCAAAAGAAGTATGTATTAAAATTATTTTTGGTTAACATTTATCTAGTACTCAAAAAAAAAAATTTAGATGTTTTCAATATCTTAAAATATTTTTCACGTGCATTTAATGTTTTAAAAAATTTTCTATTTCTTGATATTGTATCATAAAATATTTTAGAATACTAAAAAATATTTCAGGATACTAAATAAATCATAAAAGACTTTAGAATACTAGATCCTAAAATATGTTTTTAGGTAAGCCCAGTCACAAAGTATTTTAAAATAATGAACATATATGAAAAAATATTTTAGGTACCAAATAGATTACAAAATACTTTAAAATACTAGATTCTTAAATATTTTTTCAAATACATTGTCAGAAAATATTTTAGAACACTAAATACATATGAAAAAATATTTCAGGATATAATAAAATATTTTAAAATATTGAATATGTGTAAAAAAAATATTTAAAAGTATTAGATAAATTTTAATTAAAAAAAATTCTAATACATATATTTTTTTGTAATAAAAAAAAAAGTCCCTCATGCTCAAAACTCAAAACGTCCACGTTTTGAGTGCTAAGCACTCCGTGCTCATCAAAATGATGAGCACGGAATGCGAATCCTTACCAAAGAGATCAATGCGCACCGCAACTGGCTCGTGATTTTATACATATGACCGTTAAATAAAACGACGTCGTTTACCGAATGTCAAACTAAAACAGATAATCTCTCTTTTTTTTCCCGCAGCTGGAAATTTTGACACTTTATATTGAAAAAAACGTAGTTATTAATATGAGTAAAATACACTGATTTCCCCCTTTATTTAATCTAAACCATAGGGTCTTGTCTTTTATTTTGAAAACTTTTATAAATGCCTTTTGAAATTGAAATCTATGTTATATAATGCTAAACTTTTGTTTCCATCATGAACCTTTGACATAAATATTAATTAACAATCATTTAATTACTTACCGTTACCAAAAAATAATTTTAACATATCTTTGAATTTTTTGTTATATTATTAAATTGATTAATTGATTTAATTAATTTTATAATTCTAAAATATTATTTTTCTAATAATTTTAAATGTTTAATCTTATTTATTTATCCAAACTTGCTCATTATATAAACCTCTTGAGCTTCCGAAAAAATATGCCCTAAAAAACGTGAAATGTGAAGTGGTGGCTTATTCGAAAGTGAGGTTATGTTTGAATTCACAGTAGAAAAAATAGGTTTTTTTTTTTTTGGGTACAAAAGGAGGTAAAAGAAGTAGAAAAAAAAACATGGGGGATTGCAATTCCAAGCATCTTTCTAAACCAGGGTCTGTTGAGGCGCCATGTCAAATATAGGGGGAGTCTGTAAGACCATGTTTTGCTAGTGCATCTGCAACTGCAATTTTGTTACCCTCAGGATGAACAAATTGAAGCTTAACTTTCCAAGTGTCAACAATCAAGTCTCTGAATCTCATTGCAAAAGCTAGATTTTAGCCCATTCCTCGATCAGGTTCATAAGCACTACGTACAGTCACCAAGATAGCTAGAGAAACCAATCATCCAGTTTCCATGATGATCTGGAAGAACACGCCCGCACGATGATGCTTTATGAGAATCCAGTTGCTAAGACAACAGGTGAAGGATCATGTGGTTTAATGAAAACCATTTTTAAAATTAAAGTCATTTCTCCACTGCCATAATTTCCAAACTGCCGCACCTCAAGTGAGATCCCAATCACTAGTCATATCAGAACCAAAATTTCCTTTGAGATTCATGTGAACCCAATCAGACAGTGAGGCTGTATAGAATTGTTTTGAGCTATTACAGGTTTTATGAGTAAATCCCATAATGTTCTAGCATAATTTCAAAGTAAAGGTGCATCCAGCATCCTCATCATTTTTCCCAGAAGCACTTAGTACTATAATCTCATTTTTAGTGTCTCAAATACCCTAATTCGATGTAATAACTAAAAGAATAACATCTGGATGTTGGATGCATCAGAAAAATAAGATTAGGGTGTTAGGTGAACTATAAAAAGGATTATGGTACTGGATGCACATTTACCTTAAATACAATCCCTCAATATGTGAAGGACATTCTATACTCCATCTTGATCCGATCACATAACCAAGAACATTGAGACCATCGGCTCCTCCACTCATTGGTGACTAATCGATTCTGAAAAGTTTACCACATGGAGAATCTATTCCATCTCCATGTCAGTTTGAGAGTAGGATTATAACACGCCTCATCATTCTTTTCAATCATATAGTAGGCGATTTTAATAGAAAATGCACCAGCAGAGGTTCCATTCCACGCTACCATATCATTACCATGCTCAAGTCTTAGAGGCAATATTGTCAAACTCACGACTTTAAGTAAACTCGTGAGAAGAATATAAACTCAGATCATAAACTCATAAGAGTTTACTTCTATTAATAAATAATTATTAAAAGTATATAATTAAATAATTAAAATAAGAAGACAATAATTTATTTTAGATATATATCAAATTCAAATCATTAAAATTAAATCCATCAACCAAAGTTATCAAACTCATGAGTTTAAATAAATTAATAATGAAAGGATAAATTTATAATACAAACTCGTAAAACAAAATTGTAAGAATTTATCTCTTGTTAAAAATTAGCTTAAAAATATTATCATATTATTAAATACCAATTACAACCATACATATAATCAGTTTATATTTAGTTGATTATGATAAAAATATAAATAAATGTTTAATACCGAGCCAACATACATCTAACAAATGGGATTTGTTTAAATAACTTTAAGATTTAGTTCTTTATTTAAATAAATTAAAATTTTTACAATTAAAGTACTTGAACAAATTTTTTTAAAATAAAAAAATTTATACCATTTACAAACTCCAGCATACTAATGTGGGAATACAACTCGTAGACACGCCAAATAACTCGTGATTTTATTGCCCAACTACGATTCCATGCAAGTTTCATCCGAGTTTGTTGACCTCCGATTTTGTTCAAGAATTAACACGATATAGGCACCTAAACACACAAAAAAGGATGATCCTGCGAGTTAAATCACGTTTTTGACAACATTGCTTGGAGTTATATATAACGGCTGACAGCTTATTTATGATCTCATTTGGAACTAATCTAGCTAGCCGAGTCAAATCCAAGTGCCATTATTTAACCACTCAGCAACATTTGAATTTTCTCCAGCATCAGTTAGATGTCTCATGCAAAGATTTGTGATTTTAGTGTCAGAAGAGGGTAAATAGGCTTTTGATGGATACGTCACGCGACGGTGTCTTAAGTGTTTTTCTATTATTAGTTTTTCTTTTGTTGGTTGTTGTCTGTTTTTTTTTTCATATATTTTAAATGTTTCGGCCGGCCTTTTCATTTGGTTTATTTGGATTTATTCACATTTTATTTATATTAAATAAAATTGTCTTTTTACCCAAAAAAAAAAAAATTTGTTGCTCTTAGGTGTCAGTGTTAAAAACAATGGAGAGAGGAAAACATGACCATGAGATTCTGGAAAAGAGATTTTGAGGTAGATCCTGCTTTAATTTGGGGGGGGGGGGAGTAGAAGATAAAATTACTCTAAAGAATCAGTAATTATATGTTTATAAAAGTATCTAAAGAAGGAAAAAAAAATAAAGCACATACATTGGCTGAAGATTTTATTTTATAGTGAACATTTGCAAAAATAAATATTTTCACTTAAAAGTATAAGATTATGAAATGATATAGATTTGAGAATATTATATTAATATGTCAGATTTATAATTTAAAATTTTTAAACACATTTCATTAAACATACAATAATATTAAGAAAATTCTTGTTAATTTTTCAAAAAAAAAAAAATATAAATATCAAAGTACCAATAATTTTCTTATCCGTATCATATTCCATATTAAGGATATGGTCACACAATAATTAACAATGCACTCATTACTGAACTACCTCTCTAGTCCATTTACTTTCATGAGGTAATGATCACTAAAAAATAGCTATAAATGGATGCCTTTAAAGAGATAATTATTTGTATGAATTATATAATAACTAATAATGCCACCTCCATTCCTATTCCAAAAAGCATAATTATTATAAATGTTTGGACAATACTCTCGACTCGATACGATAAAAATTAAAATCAAATTCAGAGTGATTTGAGAATACTCTACATGACTACAATGATTACATAATAATGCAATATATATGATACCTCAATTAAACATAACCTTTAACTTTATAGATCGAACATAGTCTAGTTTGTGTAAAATCTAAGTGTTTACAGATTGAACATGACCTTAATAGCATTGCCACCACGAGCACTGGTTTCAAAGGCTGCTTCAACTTCCTTCTGAGAGAACCCAAACCTGTGAGTTATAAGGGGTTTCACATCTATCTTCCCACTACTCAGATACTCCAAACAGAGAGGCCATGTGTTCTTGTAACGGAAAATCCCAATCACATCAACTTCCCTGCATTTTGAACCATACAATCACTCATAATTAACTTTAATACTATGATTACACAAAGCTTCAACATAATAACTCGTGCAACATGCCTGGTTTACATTTGTTATATCGATCTAACAGCAAATGGCAAACTTGAATTTACTTAGTACTATTAGTTTTACTTTCTTCATGCCTATAAAATCTCTTGCTCCTCATCATCATACCACTTCGTCCTCATAGCAAATGTTGAGTCCTTGGTCCTCAAGCTTGATATAAATCAGAAAAAGCCAGTATATGACAATATTGATTCGCATGTTTTCAACTACCCAGAGTTTACACAGCAAAATCTAAATGTTCATATGCCTTGACCTACTGTAACATGTTTAATAGGTTTTTGTCGAGAAGACTAACTTTTCCTTGCTTTCAATTTTTTTAATCATCATCCTTACTCTGTAATTCATATATCAGTACTAAGCATCAATATAACACTGCCTCTGGTCCTAAATATAAGATATAATTTGTAGTGTAAATTGCATTACAAACTAGATCTTATATTTAGCACAACTAATACAAATTAGTCAAAATTTTTCCAGAAAACAATTTTAGGCAGGAAAGTTTATCTCCAACTGATGCAAATGCGGACCAAGAATCATACCTTGCAGCAGCAGGTGTGAGTGGAACAGTCATTTCATGATGACCCATCCCCACAAGGCACACTTTGCCGCCTGCGCGAGTAGCAGTCAATGCAGTGGTCATAGTTTTGCTGAAACCTACACAATCAAAGCCAACATCCACCCTAGCTCCCATAGCTTTATGTATCTGAACAACTTCTCCACTCACATCCTGCAAAGTAGCAAAATATAAAACTTGGTCAAGGCATAAATTACTCACATCTTCACAGTGCCAAGGAACAGATGCCTAGTGGAGACAATACTTGCATAGCAGACGCAAAATTAGTAACTTGTCAAGGCATAAATTTCTAGGTGTTCAAGGTAAAAGCATGAAGTAATAGATCCCGCATGCTAGAGGGTCAGCTTTCTCTATTCATTCTTCAAAATTTTTGTTTGCCAACCATGACATCATCAAAAGCCACTAAGTTTCTTGCACATCAGTAATGATTAATGAGAATTGTACCTCAATTTTTGTTGAAACTTTCACAGTCTCATCTGCACCAAGAGATTTTGCAACCAATAAACGATGATCATCTACATCCACAATGACGATCCTCGGTACTCCAAGAGCTCGAGCTGAAAGCATTGTGACAGGTCCAATGGGGCCTGCTCCCATGATCAACACATTTGTTTCTGGTCCAACATTAGCTCGGCGACAAGCATGAACACCAACACTTAGGGGTTCGCACATTGCCCCCTCCTCCAAGCTCACATTGTCTGGTAGTTTAAAACATAGGTCTGCAGGATGCACTATCTGTCAAGAACAGAAGTGTAGCTCAAACATGAGTTTTGGTTAAGAGTGAATTTATTTCATTACAAATGACCCACAAACGCAACACTCAAGTTCACAAACTGTTCACATAAAGGGATGCAAACTATCCTGTGTAAAGAAAAATGCAGAACAAACATGGATTTCTAATTTGAAAATGTACACACACAAACACAGTGACAAGGGGATCAATATTGGGAATTATAACATGATATTCACTTTTTCAAGAAAATAATTATTAAGAATGTAATTATGATCCTATTTAACTTATCATACGCATACGAATGCGTCAACACACACTTACAGTATAGTGTCCACCTACTTGTAATGATTATCAAAAAGGCCCCAAGTGAACGAAACAAAGGATGGCACTGCTTTAAAGATCAGTGATCTGTAAAGAAAACTGGTTCCTTGTGTCCCCAAGTTGTGACAGATCATTATTCCTCTTCAATAAATCTTACCAAACTTGTAAGTGACTCAGGCTAGGGAAATTAATATTTTTACGCCCATCCTACACCATGCTGGCATTTTCACATGTAATTGATTTGACAATTTAAGTGAATATCACAGCTTTTAAATTTGTTAAAATGTATCACTGCAACTCTATTTTTTGAATGGAGTCATCCTTTTGTTTTTCATCTGTCAAGATATTCTTTTCATTAGAGATTTGAAGCAAGCAACAAGACACTAACAATTCATTTCAGGATACACATAAGAAATGCCAATATTTGGATGATATGAGACAATTTCCTTTAGTTTGAAACTTCCTTGATTGAATTCAAAACTACCTCCTTTCACCTATTTGCAGCTAAGAAGAGCTCTAACAAGGATATAGGATCAGATCACAACAGATTGAAGGGTCTGCCATCATACAGAACTACAGTTAAGAACTCTAACAAGCATGTTTTTCTATCAGAAGAAATGATGAAGCACGTTAACATTATTGAAAGAAATACAGTTTGAGAAGTTATAAATTCCTTCAAACCTGATTAGCAAGGGAACCATGAACTGGTGGAGTTGCAAGGGACTTCACCTCAGGGCATAAATTGTATCGACCATCCTTGCAGAGATCACAACGCCAACAACTAATCCCAGGTTCAATCGCCACATGGTCGCCAGGTTCCAAATGCTTTACCTCACTACCAATTTCTTCTATGATCCCTGCAGCCTCATGGCCAATTACCAATGGTTCTTTCACTATAAAATCTGCCAATCTCAGTGTCTGCAAATTGATAAAATCAGAAAGTATTACTGGAAAGAATACAGATGAATGAAGGGGAAAATTCATTAAAGTAAGCAAGGAGAATTATTTCATAGGTACTTTTTAGTCGACATAATTCAGATGCAAAACATATATGCTTACCTTGAGGAAGTAAATATCACTGCCACAGATCCCAACAGCTTTCATTCGAATTCTGACATCCTGGGGGCCTTCACACATACAAAGAGAAGAGGGTCAATGAAATCAGTATGAGTTCATACTGATAAGTAAAGATTGCTGTGCAGAAAAGAAAAGCACACTTGAATTAAAATAAAGAGTCAATTGAGTAGAATAGATACCCAGGGTAGGAAGTATGAAAGGTTGAATCTTGAGGGTATTTATACCAACAAGCCAGGCAGCCATATTTTCTTCTTCTCCATGACCTTCACGTGACATCCCACCTTTACCCATTTGCTCTAGCTAAGTCTGCTCCCCTTTCTCTCTAAGCTAAGCACCTGTTTGGTTGAGCTAATGTGTCAGGAAAGAAAATGAAAGAAAGGAGGAAAATAGAAATTTATGTTTGATAGGAAATAAATGAAAGATGGGAAGGAAATGAGAAGGGCGGATTATCCAAAAGCCTGTAAGCTTTCTTCATATTCAATGTATAGAATGGGAACGTTGAAAGTTGAAACAACTTCTGAAATCATCACTCAAAAAACTGGACAAATATGCATTATTAAGAAAAAAACAGAAAACAGTTGAAGAGGGGAAAAAAACAGAAAACGGTGGAGAAATATAAAGTGAATGTTTGCACAAGTCCTTGAAATAAATGCTAAGATGACTCCATTAAATCATAATATATCCTCCCTCAAGTTTCTCATAAAATATCTGGTGAAAAGATTAAAAAGCCAGAAAATGGACATGAATATAATCAGAAACAGTGATCCTTAATGTCGCTTTGGGGTCAAATTAAATTTGATTTAGAATGCAGTATAGTGATGCAAACCAAAATCGTTCTCTTATTGGAGCCAAAGTTGATTAGGTCCTAAATTAACTAAAAATCAAAATTACTTTTAAAAATGCGATTTTTGTTGGTTTCTTTTTTTTAATTAAGAAGTAATTTGCAAAATAAATTGAAAATAATTCTAAATAATTCTTTTTGGATTTTTTTTAATAAAAAGAGTGAAAAGGTAAATTAAAATTAAAAATTGAAGGATACTTGATTAAAGATACAACAATTCAAATGAATTCCCCTTTAGAGTTTTAAACCACGCCTTCCTTGCTTCAAAAGATTTATAGAGTTTTAATTTCCAAGAAATCAGTTAGTTCAAGCAACCACTTAAACTTAGATTGATTAACCTTTAATGAAAACCCTTTAACTAAAAGAGTTCTTAACAGCATTAACAACCCTCATGAAACTCCATTGGAAGAGATTAATAACTTTGCACAATCAAAATTCAACAATCTTAACACTGCAAGATTGAACCAGAAACTTAACTCAAAAGATTAATATTAAATTAACTGAATCCAATATCAAGCAATCAAGTTAAGAATTAAACAATGCAAACCAAGTGCACAGCTATCAAACTCAATACTCAAATCCCAAACTACACTACAACTGTAACGTAACAAATCCAGAATCACAATCCAATTAACTAACTAAGATAAACCAAAATGCAAAACTAAAATTAGAGATAAGAATATTATCAAAACTCCCTAATTGATTGCCCCAAGCTCTGGCACAACTCTCTCTCTCTCTCTGCTCCTTGGGGAAATCAGATTCAGCTGCTCATGGTAGTTTGGTTTGCTCCACCGAGCTCCTCAAACCTTCTGAGCATCATCACAGCGGCACGCACATTTGGAGAAGGGGGATGGATGGTGATGATGGTTCAAGACGGTGATGAAGGCGGAAAGGAATAAGGTCGCGTCTGCGTGGATGGATTTTTGGTGTGTGGCTGTGATGGTTTTGTAAGATGATGATGATGATTCTGTGATGTGGTAGTGCCGCAGGCGGGGAGGGGAGGTTAATTAACACTTTGTTACGGATTTTCAGAGCGGAGGGGAGGGAAATCATTTGGCTAGAACACTTTTTAAAAGAGGGAAGGGAGTTACTCCCTTGCCCTCGTTTGACTGGAGTAATTTTTAAGGAGAGAAGGGGCTCTTATTCTCTCTTTTTGTTTTCTTAACCTCTCCTTTACAAGTAGAGTTTTCGGAAGGAAGATGAGAAAAAAATTATTTAGTTTCATAACTAATTTTAGTAAAATAATATAATTTCCTTTTTATCTTCTTTTTTAATCTTACAATTTTAATAACTCTTGTCAACTCAACCTATATTTAACTATTCAACTAAAAAAATCAAACTACTTAAAATTTTGCTAAACAAATGAAATTATAAAAATCATTAGGACAAAAAAAGAAACAATAAAGAATTATAATATTTTTGAAAAAGTCAATATAGAGTAATATTAACTTAAGATAGATAATAAGAATCTTATAATCTTTTAATTAGTTAAAAATCAAAAAATAAAGAAATAAAACATAAAAAATGGTAAAAATGTAATTTTTCTTTTAAACCCAGTAGAATTAACAAATAACATTATGGAAAGAAATTTGATTTCAATTTTTTTGTTTTGTTCTTCTCAATAAGTTGTGCTTGTGGCAAAAGCATAACCTAATGTTTTTTTTTCAAGTTGATAAACTGCCTCATACATATTGATAAAATAAAAAAATTTATTTAAATTTTATAAGAGTAAAATAGTTAAGTTTTAAATAGCTCTCGTTCCTTCCCCTCTTAGGTCAAATAAGGTAACCGCCTCATACATATTGATAAAATAAAAAAATTTATTTAAATTTTATAAGAGTAAAATAGTTAAGTTTTGAAATGCCTCATCTTCCTTCCCCTCCAATCAATCTAAACAAAGGATTCTTAAAATTCCTCTCCTCTCCTCTCCTCCCCTCCCCTTTCCTTATATCTTTCCTCCCTTCCCATGTCCTCCCTTTTCCTTATATCTCTCTTCGCTTTCCCTGCCCTCTCCTTTTCTCTATTGAAATCACTCCCGTCTCTTTCTTTTCGTTGAGTCAAACACAGTGTATGGAAGGAGAAAAGAGGGGAGAGGAGATCATAGGTTTTGTTTGGTTACAAGGAAAGGGAAAGGAGGAGAGATTTCTTGTTTGGTTCATAAGAAGAGAGGAAAAGAGAGGGGAGATTTCTTGTTTGGTTCATAAGGGGAGGGGAAGGGAGGTAATTATAAATTAAAAATATGCACTTATCTCTATATTTAAACTACTTTATTCTTTTATTACAATATTTATATTAAAATTATTATTTCTTAATTTATCATTTCAAAAAAAAAACCAATTATCTCAGTTACATGTGATAAATAAAACTAAAAAAATTAGGAAATATGATAAAAAGTTTAACATTCTATCTCATTAATGGAGGGAAGAAATATTTATATGGACAATTTTATCCTTATTTTATTTTTATATGATAAAATATTTTTATATGGATCTAAATATGTTTATTAATTAATCAGAATCTCAAAAGTTTGTTTCATCACTTAACTATGATAAAATTATTTATATATTTTTAAATAATAATTTTATTAATATTGACATACTATTTTATTAACTTTAATACGTTTTCTTTTCAAAATTTCTTGTAATGTAATATTATCTCCGGTTTTTAATATAAGAACTCGTTTAATTTTTATTTTGATTTTAAATATAACATTCCAATCATTTTGACTGTCATATTCATTCATTTTTTTTCAAAGTAGTTAAAAAATATTTTAGGAAAGACAATACCTATATATTATAAATAACTAACTTAACTTTTTTTTTAATATACTCAAATTAGTCAATTAGCTCTTATATTTATGACCAGAGATGGCATATATGTGTAGTGGTTGAGAAATATCATTAAAAAAAATTAAAAAATACTTAATTAAAAAATATTATTGTTTGTTCTTGTTAAATATGAGAGCCCAAATTAAAACACAAGAAAAACCCTCATTATTATATCATCTTCCATCCCCTGCCACATACTTGGACAGCCCCTTCTCTTTCTAGTATTATTGTCTTCTTCGCACACCCAGCAGCCACCGCCAACTCCTCTTTTCAAAATCGCATGTCCTCTTCCATCACTAGTCTTCTTTCTACCAAGAATATTTTGGGGGGCTGTTCACTACTCGTTACGGTTGAAGGGAAGGAAGAAGATTACAAACAAACAATAAAATATAGACCTTCACGGCATAATCTAGAAGAAAACAAAACAAGAATGAAGAACATTGAAGAAACTGATAAATCAGAGGCAACAATGCGTGAACGGGAAGAAACCACTGAAGGGGAAGTACAAGATAATATTGGGATATTGAAAAAACAGGAAAGCAAATTAATTCTCTTCCCTCCAAAAGCCCCCAATTTGCGAGGGGAGAGGGAGAAAGGGAAGCGATAGGGGGGAAAAAAATTTAACTCCCCCTCCCTCCCCTCCCCTCGAAAAAACCCCAACGATATTATGATATTATATTGTTTTTAAAAAAATCAATCAGTTAAAATAAATCATAAAAATATGATATTTTTATTTTTTTTAGCAATATTTTCATCCAATCACAATTAATCCAAATTAATTATAACAAATGTAATTAAACCTAATTTAATTGATAAAAATTTAAAATAAGATATGAAAAATCAATATAAAATCAGAATTTATCAAACAGTGATGCAAATGTTCACTATATAATAAAGGACTCAATTTTCATCACAACTATTATGGAGGCAGATCTTGGATCCCGCATAAACTCCCCTGATGGCCTTGTAAGAAGCATATCATCACCGCGCAGAGCCAATAACCGAGCAAGTGAATATCTTGTCAAAATGAACGAAAGAACCACCGATGTTCAAAGCAAGCATGAAAATCCGTTAACATCCAGATAAAATAGTACAAACTTACAGATAAGAGAATGCACAGGGCAAGCCCCAAAAAAGATGTATAGATTGTAAAAACCATACGAAGCGTGCCAAAAAAAAGGGAAAACAAAAACAAAATCCCGTGAGGAAAAGAAGAAAAACAGAGGAGCACGGAGAGGGATCCAGAGGACGAACCAGGAAAGCAGAATTGCAGAGAGATGAAGGAAACTAGAAGACAGAGCGAACTGGGAATATGGAGTGGACAGCAAAGAGAACCGAAGCTGTGATCAATAAATCAATCACAGCAAGGGGTAGACGACGAAGTTGACAACGATGATCAATTGCACGTTAATGGCACGTTGGATTTTGTGGATGAATCAGCCACTCATCGAATTCAATGTGGCGCATGCACCTCTACATTCATATCCGCGACATGGCACTAAGGCCCCCAGAAAAAAAAAATTGGCCACATGGCAACAAAAAATAATAATAATATTAATAATAAGAATCAGAACTGTTTTTCTATTGTAGAAGAAGATACTTACTTTTTGGCCCGAAGAAGAAAAGATAGTTCAGTGTAGTTCAGATTTTTATTATATTATAGGCATCTATATTTTAGATGAAATGAATTTAAGGGACTAAAATCTATTATTTGAAATTTAAAAGATCAAAATTAAAATGAAAATAAATTTAAGAGATCAAAAATTATAGGCTAAAGTATACATTTGGTCCTTTAATTTTGTACAAAGTTTCAATTTGATCCCTTAACTCTAAAAAGTATACTTTTAATCTTTTAATTCTAAAATTTTTTTAAGAAATGATAAGATTAAGATTTTAAATGTTGATAAGATATTCTCAAATACTACTTCTGGTTCTAATTATAAGAGCTAGTTGACTAATTTGAGGAGATTAAAGAAGTAAGTTGAGTTAGTTATTTGTCCTAAATAGGTGTTGTCTTTCCTAAAATATCCTCATAATCAAGTGTATTGACTAGAACTATTATTGTTAAAAGAGCTACTTTGGAAAAAAAAATATAAATATGAGAGACAAAGTAGATTAGTGTCTTATATTTCAAAATAAAAGTTAAACAGGGTCTTATATTAAGAACTGGAGGTAGTACTAACATATTAAGTTTAATTTTCAAAATATCTATGATTGTTACAAAAAATTATCATTGAAGCCTAATGATTTTAGAATTAAAAGACCAAATGTATGCTTTTTAAAATTAAGGGACCAAATTGAAATTTGTACAAAATTAAAGGATCAATGGTATGCTTTAGCCAAAATTATATTAACCTATTTTAAAATAAATTATAAATACCAAAATAACTTAGTTATAAATTTTTGAAGGATGAGTTAAAAGTTGGAAAGTTTAGGGGGGAAATCCCCGTTATTAATTTTGTCAGTGAAAAAAAATTACTAATGTGCGTACACAACTTGTAGAGTATGGATATTTTTATATATAAAAGTTTATCATGTACTTCTTATTAATATAATTTACAATAGGAAACCTTTTTTCAAATTTTCCTTATAAATTTGACAGGATTAATTGTAAATCAAGTTGATATCATGTTTGGAAAATTGGGTTTTGTATCAATTCATCTTTTAATATAAAGTTATATTATTAGTTTGTTATACAACAGTACCATATGCAGATACCTGACGCCTAAACTCATCTTCAAATCTTAACGAATACCACAGCTGATTTTTAATATAAGAGATAATTAACTAATTTAAGTAGATTACTTAAATTAGTTAACTAAGTTATTTGTAATAAATAGGTGTTGTTTTTTTTAAAATACCCTTACTAACTATGAATATTAGTTAAAACTATCATTTGACGAAACTTTTAACACATACAACTACTACAAAGATTATCTTGAGAAAAAATAGATAAATATGAGAGATAAAATGTATTAAGATCTTATATTTAGGACCAAATTGAAAGTCAAGCTGGTTTTTTTGGTGCTACACATAGGTATCTTCCTACTAGAGATAATCCTATTAGAGGCACTGTCAGACACTAAATATAGACACATTTCTCAATAGAGATTCAAACATTGGTTTCACATATTGTAAGATACTAGCCACTTTTGCTAAACTCAACCCTCATTAGTAAGTCAAACTAATTCTTTTATTAAGTATAGAAAGTAGTATCTTGTTATACAATATGATCATGTGCAATCAAGTCATCTACAACAACAATAATAAGAACACTCAATAGCCCATTTATTTGTAATATATATTATATCTGTGCCTTAATATAAAACATAAAATGTAACATCCTTATTTTTTTTATCTAGTATTTAATTAAATTTATAAATAAATATATTTTTGTAGTAAGTTTTAAAAAAAAGAAAAGTTAGATATAGGCAAAGTATTATTATTATTCTTTTAATAATGTTTTTGTGGGTAATTGTGTGTGTGGATGATATACTAGAAAATTATACCATGGTATAGAAGTCCCACATCGACTAATCTTTAGAGTAAAGGAGTTTGAGGAGCCTATATATAGGAGATAGTGAGTGGAGCTTGAAGTAAGTAAATAATTTTCGCACATATCTGAGGTAGTCTCAGAAAAGTACCATTTTTGATTTTATTAACCGTTGGATCAGACTGAAATTTGGTCAGCCCATTTGGGACATCCAAATCGTTAATTTCAATGGTTGGATTATCATTTTGATCTCTGAGTTACAAGTTATTAGGTACACTTTTAACTCATATCTTTTGGATTTAGCAGATAGAGTCCTAAATAGTAAATTAGCATTTTAAAGTTCATTCACCGTTAGATTGAGCTATAATTTGGAGGATAGTATCATGATAGATAGGAAATTAAATTCAACGGTTAGATTAAGGGTTTAACTTCTGTAGTGAGAATAACCTGGTTTGTACTAAGTCTATTTGTCTAAGTCCTTCGAAGATGGAATATAAGTTATAAATTTACAGTTTGTCTATTTATATTATGAATTTGATGATTCTAATAATATAATCTAATAATTAAAGGATATTTAAGTAAGGAAAATTTAGAATCGAGTCTAAATCATATATATATACGTATGTTCTCATTCCAAACCTTAGAGAAATGTCTTTTAGCTAGAGTTTGAGTAAAATTAAAGCTTTTAGAGGAGGAGTTAGAGGCTAGAATTTTGTGAGTAGCCTACTCTAATACTATAGAGATAATATTTTAATTTTTTTTGTAGATATAAACTCTATTGTGGCATTTTCGAGGTTGGACTCTGGTTGTAGTTGACTGTTAGCTAGGAGACCAGGTAACTAAATTTCTATCGGTTGCATGCTCTAGTATGAAGTTGGTGAGTGATTTTATAACTAATTCTATAAAAGTATATTACGTTTTGTATGAACTGTCTTGTGGGATGCTATTTTAAAGAGGATTGACATAGTTTGTATTGCAAGAAATTGGTAATCATGATTAGGATGTGTTATTATGAAATTCTGTTGATTATGCATATAAATGTGTCATTTTGAATTCTGTGCATCTATTTTTGGTTGAGGAAAGGAGATAATTGGAGTTATTGAGATTCATATACTTGCCACGTGGTATTAGCCTCCATACGGAGCTCTATGGTTGGCTGTTATTATTGTCCCACTAGTTCTTCGAGGGACTGCAACACCCTACTAGTTCTTCGAGAGGGGACCATCGAGTGCTCTGGGGTCTTTGGCCGGTACATATCATTTGTGTGGTGAGCTTGTCAGAGTTGCCAGTTAAATGGAAAGAACTTAGCCCATGGGTCCAGTCAGCGGAAATAAGGAGGATATAAGGATGGATTTGGGTTTAGGAATTGCATATGACATGGGATATTCATTGATATTTATATCTTTTAATAAATGACAAGTATGTTATCTCTTTTGAAATGTATCAATTACATGAGATTGGTGGAAATATTTGTCTTGTATGATTATTGTGAGTTTAAATGTTAAATAAATGTTTATCAACTATTATTAACTCTATGTATCCCACCTGACACCTCGCTAGCCCATGCTAGGGTGTGGGATAGGTATGGATTTAGTTACTGAGACGTTGTCTCACTCCTGTTGCTTTACCATTTTCAGGAAACAATACGTTAGCGGGACCTTCGGGAAGACTCTTGAGGTCAATAGCTGTAGCTGACAGTGTAGAGCTTCTGGACCTTATTTTATGCAGTCTTTTTGTAACACCCAAATTTTCTAAGCTATTTAAAACACCATGTAAAAACTAGTTTGATCTTAAGATCTCAATAATAAAGTTTACACTAAAGGACTCAATTTTTAATCACCACAAGTAAACATGAGCAATTAAACCCATAATACAATTCGAGCATAAATATCCAAGCTTGCAGTCTCAAAGTCTAACATAACATAACTCGTGGATAAAACTTGAAATGAAACGCTAAAATCTATCCATTCAAGGAATTAATAAAATACTGATATGATGTTCTAGGATCATGGCAAATAGTAAAGAATCAAATTAATTCAGCATGTACTTGAGAAGTGTAAGAGCTACTAGCTCACTCCTCTGGTACCTTCCCTTGCTCCCTATAAGGATTGTCACCTGGAAAAATGTTAAATAATTAGGGTGAGCACAAACGTCTCAGTAACCTAGAGTTCAACCATGTAGATACAACCATTACCCAAACATTTTCATATTGGCTAAGCAAACAGATATTGCAATAGTTTAAATAATCATTAGCAAAATATGTAACTAATTCAATAATATACCATGTTCATATGAAATGGATGCTTCCACCCTTATTGCTCCATCCAACCTTATTCCGCTGACTAGAACCATAGGCTTATAAACGGTCTGGCCTACACACTGGACTGACCAAAGCTACTCCAGTACTTAGGATGTATCTGGCCAAAGATACAGAGCCCAAGCCTAGACTATGGCTCCCCTCCTTAAAAGAACCAGGAGGTGTCACTGTCCCACATTCCTCCTCTACAAACCTGGTCGGGTAAGTATTAAGGGATGGGGCCCTAAAAAGGCCAACCACTTTGCACTAAGTGGAGGCAAACCACATGGTCACAATTTTCACATATATCAATATTATAAACTCCCAAGTCCAACCACCTATGCATGTCATGAATATATAACAAATCCAGTATATGCAAGCATGCTTGAAAGAAAATGAATTACCATAAATTTTTCATCAAAAATATCCAAGACACATTCGTGCTTAAAGGAGAATTCAAATAACATAGAAGATAATACAATTTTATTCTTTCACCTTTTTAGTCTTATCTATTTATTTGCAACAATTAAGTCGATAGAGTCAATACAATTTTAATCATGATGGATAAAAATTGCACACACATAGAAAAAACCCCAAGTTACCTGACTCCCTTT